CAGTTTGCCCAGAGCGTTGGAACTCCCAATCTTCGTTGAAAAGTGTCGCTACTTCGGCCATTTTTTGCATCTGCTATGCACTGGAAGTTGAACCAAGGGCATGAAAATTAAAGGTAGGGGCTTAACTTTCTAACACGGGGTCAGCAAAGTTCTTGTAGCGTCAAGCGTACCAAAAACGTACACGGCCCTCCTCGGTGCAATAGTCTGCATCTTGGAAGATGCTTGCGCACAGGTACGTATATCCACCAATGATTTGGTGTTACATAGAAGTTTCCAGCCTTGTAGCCCTGATATTATTGTGCAGAGAATCCATTAGCGCTTACGTCGAAAGTCGGATGCACAGAGGCCGGGTCCGGACGCCTTCTGTAGCTTCGGATGCACAAGGTCCCGAGTCCGGACGCCTTCGCGACTCACAAGCTACCCAGCGCGTGCGCCTATCATGCACTTAGTTAACAACTCGAAGCAAGCGCCTATCGTGTCGCGGCTTTTATGCCGACTCTTAGCAGCTAGCAAAAAATTGTCATATCGCGTAGGCCCAGGCGAAGGAAGGAACCAGATTGCAGCCATTGTGGTGACGCAGAAGCGCCTGCGTATTACAGCACTAGGTGGTGGCGCCCAGTTAAGAGGAACCCTAGGGGACAAATCGACACTTATTTAACAGTTTTAATTAACTAACAACACTATTACTAACATTCTTTTGCTTATTCTAGCGCAACATGCGCTATTTACCTATTCCTGCGCCTATAACCTAGGCACACTAACACAGCACCCTAGCTATCTAAGCCTTATTTCCTTCCCTAAACAGCTCCTTTATAAAGTCTGCATTCCCCTTGCTTATAATCTCCCTTATACCCTATTTTTGTTAGAACTTAGCAAGAGCGTTAATCTAATGCTTAATAACCTTCTCTAATATGCTCTTCTTATTATTACCCTAGTAGAAGTAAAGAACCTGTAGGAGGATATGCTAGCTAGTGCGCAAGACAATGCTAGCTTTCTTAACGTTAACCTATACCACAACTATATTATTAGCACCTATCCCCTGTTTAATGCTAGCAACATTTTTCCTAAACGCTAGAGCTAGGTCGCTACTAATGTTATAGCTATAGAGTTCCTTAATCTTGTACTGCAGCTATAGAGAGAGTAACTTGTTGTTAAGAAGAAGAGCAAGAGTAGGCAATAGGTTAGAGTTGTCAAGAATTTAACCTAGAAGGAGGGCCTCGCAGCCGTTAAAGCGTGTAGACAAGCTTAAACAGCTATTTAGTTAGCGATATACAGTAGCAGCAGCAGAGATAGAGGAGTACTTACTAATGTAGTAGGCAAAGCAGGTGTTAGAGAACAGGAGGATACCTTTAGAAACTTTTATTTATCGCGCCTAGTGTGCGCACCTAAGCGCTCTTAGTACTAGACACCTTATGCTTAATAAACGCCTACAAATAGGCGTTACATTAATAGATCGCGGTACTAAAGTAATCTTTAGCAAAATTAAAAATGTTAAAATATTAGCTAGGGGCTTGGCGCGCCGAGCCCTACATTATTTAACCTACCTAATCGCGAGCAGGCTACAGAGGCCCTGCACCTTATACTTATCCCTATATACATATACAGTTGCTTGCAACAAATACTCGATAAATTTAATTACGTATTACAGCACTAATGACGGCTCAACGTCGATACTCATGAGGCTGCAGATGTCGTTGTGGTGGAGAAGCCGTGGTGTTGAACACCGCGATGACGCGCCGCAATTGCTTGGCGTCGGACCGCCGATTGGCCACCATCTCTCAGGTACACACCACACCATCCGACCGCCATTAACACTTCAACGCCATCATCTCGGCAGCCAGCGACTGTACGACAAGTGCGGCCATCTATATTGCAAGCTCATCGTCGTGAGTACGTAGTGATGCTATCATCACCGACGTACGCAGCGCGCGTCGTAGTGCCTCACGTAACGCGACCGCGTCATAGAATCTCTTGCTAATCTCAAGTCAACTAACGTCAGCTCGCACCCTCTCGGTGAAACACTAGGCACTGATTGGGAAGGACATGGGGACGTCTTCATTCACGAAGAGTCGCCTGCTCTACGGCTCACCGAACGGCGCCTTTCCATTGTCGTCTCATTCCGATTCTACATGCCAACGGTACCTTCCCAAACCATCGTGTCCGGCCTACAACGCGAAGCGGAAGTCGGGATGATCATCGCCCAGCGCCTTCGTACTCTGGTCAAGGACCTCCGGCATCTGCAACCTCGCCTCGTCGCGCTTCTTGTTCTCCCTCTTACAACCAAAGAACGTCACCGTCGCAGCTACAACACCGATACAAGCCAGACCGAGACCGGTACTGAACCCTGTGCGAAACACGGGCGCCTCTTTGAACTGCACATTTAGGGGTACGAAGTCAGTATATGTCTCACATGCACTTCGTACAGTCAGAACTTACCAGGAAGACATTCGAGCTAATGAAAGCACCTGCCGTACCGAAGTTGATGATCGCAGCAATAGCCACGGCACGCTTGTACCCAGAACCGCAGTTCATCGAGACCCAGATGATCGAGATCGGCATCGCGAGATAGCATCCAGAGGCAATAAAAAACATGCCCATATACCGCACGGCCGGGTTGGACGGGTGCACAATCTCCACGATGAGACCTGTCGCGAGAACTGCCCAGCCCAGGACGTAAAACAGATACCGGCGCTGTAGCCACTCGCTCATGTACGCGAAGATAACGGAGAAGGCGGCGCCGACAAGATACACAGGGATTGTGTGGACCTGCGCTTGCGTGGCGGTGTAGCCGAGGCCCTTCAAGATGGTCGGTTGGAAGTTCGCGAGAGAGTTCGCGTTCTCAGTGACGCCGATGTTCATCAGAACGCTGGTCATGATCAGTTCAGTTATGCGCAAGAACATGCATGCCACTTACCCGGTCCAGATCTTCCAGTCCTTGAGGAAATGCAACGCCTTCTTGAACGATATCTCATCGTCGGCTACATGGCCGCCATCAGCCTGGATGCGAGCAAGCATTAACGCCTTCTCATCGGGAGACAGGAACTTGCAGTGCTCGGGGAACGGCGGGACGACTGGCCAGCATGCTATGCTGACGAAGATAGTCACACAACCCTCGATGATGAAGATCCTACCTCACGTCAGCAGGTATCCGTCGCAAGACTCCAGAGTTGACTCACCATCTCCACGCTCCATATCCGGCGGTACCATCCATTCTAGCAATGAGTGAGGAAACGAACCCGTTGATTGCGCCCGCAACAATACCCGCGGTGCAAAAAAAGACGTAGCGCGTCAAGTACTCGCGCTTCGAATAATACGCGCCGATCAAATAGGCCGCTCCCGAAATGTAGGCCGACTCGGCGATACCTTCTAGCAGACGGCAGACAACGAGCTCCTCCCATCGCTTCACAAGTCCGCAACCGATGACGGTGATGCCCCAGCAGAACATCATCACGCAAAGACTCTTGGGCCCATACTTCTTGAAAGCGATCTGCAACGGGATGCCAGCGACGAGGTAACCCAGGTTAAAAACCCATACCGCGATGTTGAACCTCTGGCCGATGAGGTTCAGCTCCGTCTCCATGCCCTGGATCTTTGCATTCCCTATGTTAGCTCTTGGGGGCGAATTAGCAAGGCATCGCAACGATCAAAGGTTATTCAACTAGACTTACCGGTCGATGAAGTTAACCAAGTAAAGTATCCACAGCACTGGCAAGATTCGAAAGTCGAGCTTCCGGATGAGTCGCCTCTCCGCAGCGCGATCGAAGCAATGCTGGCTTGTTGACCCTGCTGGGGAAACCGATGAGTTGTCCACGTGAACTCCCTTCTCGACAATGCTGGCGTCTGTCATATCGACGGAGTGTGATGAAGAACGAAGGAGGGGTGAAGTAATTGCCCCGAAGCAGATAAATGCCGACTATCAGTAACAGCTCGTCATGCGATGCGGGCAGGGTCAAGGTTCACCACAGGCCAAACGAAAGGCTACTCGAATTACGCCCGGTCAACATATATTCCCTCACCGCGTCGCACTTTCGCCCTGTTCGAGCTCTGACTTTCGGAATCACTCCAGAACGAGCACAATAACCTCGATTACGAGCCGCAAAGCCTTCAATCATGGCCTGATGTGTGGCGTCTTGTTGAGAAGGATCAGAGGATGTTTTGCGCTTCTTCACAACGTCTACTTCGCGATGCTTGCAATTGGCTGTGGTAGGCGGAAGGATGCGCAGGCATTACATGAAAGAAGTATCCGACATGGGGCGGGTAGGCCGTCGCGCGGAATTGAGCCCTCTCCGCATCCTTCGCGACTTGGCTATACGAACGATGGATCAACAGCCTATCGTTATATGAAGCCGTCGGTGGCAATGCTTCATTCGAAACTAGTCTTGCGGTATGCCGTTACATTATGAGTTAGCGGGCTCGGGATGAGAGTTCAGATCCACAACGGCGCCTTCGGCGGGGAGGAGGCAACCCCACCGCAGCGGCCCGCGCCAAATGTCCAACGGCGCTCCAGACTCTCTGGGCGCAGTCCAAACCTTTCGTTTCCCCAAGCAAATACATCGTCTTGGAACATCTTGTCATAATCAGTACATTCGCAAAGTCTGGATTTGACATTGAACGGTAGTAAGCGGCAGTCCACTGAATGCCGGTAAGCATGTCGCAGCACAGTGGTCGATCCGCATGTCTCCTCACCTTCATTGCCGTACAGATGGTTAGCGCATCTGTCTTTAACCAGGCGACACCCCGGTGCGAAAGCGATGCAAGCTTTGCCGTGCCGCGTCTTCATGGCACTGAAGTATCATAAGCTTGCCCCACCTATGATGTGGGTCATCTTACCACCGAGCAGCTGCAGTTGTACCTCAAAGTATCATTCTGCAAGTGGATGCTAGCTCGCATCAGTTGCAAAGCATGTTGTCAGCAACGTTTACCACGATCGCCATCTCGCAGCCATTTTCACAGTGCGTTCGTCGCTATCAAATCTGTAATCTCCCCAGCCTATCACCGTCATGACTGAACGAGACCCCATGAGCGTCGCGATCGTCGGAGGCGGCATCGCTGGCCTCACGCTGACAATCGCACTTCTCACCAAATGTCCACACATCAAGATCACGCTATATGAGTCCGCCGAAGCCTTTGGCGAGATCGGCGCAGGTGTCGGATTCTCGCCGGTTATGGTTCGCACAATGGCTCTCATCGATCCACGCATCGCGGAAGCGTTCGTTAAATGTAGCAAAGGCAACACTGTCACCGACCCGCCGAACTGGTTCCATGTGAGGGTTGGAGATGAAAGAAAGAAGAATGTCAAGCTAAGGGAAGAGTTGTTTGTGATACCAGGGAGGAAGGGACCGGGAGGTGGCGTGCACAGGGCTCACTTCCTCGATGAGTTGGTGAAGCTGGTACCAGAGGGAGTCGCGCAGTTCAAGAAGAGGGTACTTGAGATTACTGAAGCAGACGACGGCTCCGGCGATGCGGTCTTGCACTTTACCAACGGGCGTACTGCGCAGCACAGTGCGGTGCTTGGGTGCGACGGGATCAAAAGTCGCGTGCGATCTATCGTCCTGGGTGACTCAGACGCAGTAAAGGCGGTGTTCTCAGGGAAGTATGCGTATCGGGGGCTTTTGCCGATGTCGGAGGCGGTGGATATCCTAGGCGATGAGACACCGAGAACGCCTCAGATGTACATGGGCTATCATGGGCACGTATTGACATTCCCCATTGCGAATGGCACGCTATTCAACGGTAAAGTCATACCTCCCACCGGCCCATTCGCCCCGCTAACGCCTTACGGTCGTCGCCTTCTCTTCGCAACCCACATGGGAAGACGAGAATTGGGTGGTGCAAACAGCACGGGACGACATGCTAGAGGACTATAAGCACTGGATTCCTGCCGTGCGCAAGATCATGGAGAACGTCCGGAAGCCTGACATCTGGGCGCTCTTCAACCACCCACCTGCATCAATCTACTACAGCGCTAAGCCACTGATCTGCCTAGTGGGCGATGCCGCTCATGCATCGACACCGCATCAAGGCGCCGGGGCAGGAATGTGTATCGAAGATGTGTACGTCCTGAGCGAGTTGCTATCGCAGTGTCGTACGAAGACCGGCTTTGAGAAGGTCTTCCACGCATACGATGCTGTCAGAAGGCCGCGCAGCCAGAAGCTGGTCAAGACCAGCAAGGAAGCCGGTATGTTGTGGGAATTCGAAGGAGAAGGCGTCGGCGACGATTTGGAGGCGCTGCGGATTAATGCGCAGACCAGGATGGCGTGGATTTGGGATCACGAGATGTCGAATGACCTGAAGGAAGCAAGGCGGATTATGCAAGAGGGCTTGCCGAATACTCTGTAGCCCGGGATGCTGAGGTCACCAAGTCACGACAATGCTCGACACCTACCTATCAAGAACGACAGGAGTCAATGATCCAGAAGTCTACAACGCGTTGAGATCAAACGAACCGTTCATTTTGGTACTAACGTGGCCGGCAGCGCGCTTCCTCGATGTCTCCTTTTGCGTGGGATGCGGAGGTATCGCAGTACCCGAAGACATGCATCTTCGCAGCCACACCGTCCAGGCTCGAGCGCGTTTCGCTTCAAGTTCCGTTTTCCAAATGATCTGGTCCAACGGTAGCCGGTCATCGCTTTGCGATCAGAAACGGATGTCGTTTCAGGAAGCCGCTGGGATCAACTGTGCCGCACAGCCTCGCTACCACACTACTTCATGACTTACCCCACGCTCGATAGAAGACGACGCATGAAAAGACAGGCGCGCAGCCTCCCTCCTACGCATCAAAGAACCTGGTATGCTAGGCCGCGCGTAGTGTTCGTCCAGTGGAAAACCGCGAGGATGTAGCCTGGCCAGCTACTCCGTCTCAAAGGTACTGAACACAGCCATGGTCTTAAGCGGGGGTATGTGATGTCACAAGAAACGCCGTGAGCGTCAATGGAGACTGCGTGGTTGAGTATAATTAGACCTGGGCGACACCATCGAGCGTTAGAACTCCACAGCGCCCGGACTTTACCTTTGATACCATTGCGCATTTGCCCTATACAGACTTTCTCAAGCATGCCTGTTTCCACTTCTAACCCCACAGCCGTCGTTGGCGATGCGTCTGGCCGCCGCTGGGACCCAGAAGCGGTCTTCAAGCTTTGTCAAGACGGCCGCTGCGTTGGATGGGCGCCCTCACGTGGTCGAAAGTGCCGCATGCCTATACGTCAAGACAACGCACACAGGGTCGAAATGTTGGTGGTTGATTTGGCGAACCAAAGTCCAGACCCTGAGCGACTCCGGCCAAAACTTCAGCGCCTTGCTGAGCATGGCTTGTGTGTTCGTTTCCATCAATACCAAGTCGACGAGATGCTAGACCGTTGGATGAAGCGGATGTGGGAGGCGTTCCCTAGGCGTGACCGAGTGGAGGAACGGGTCGACGCAACGTCGGAGCGGGTGAGGCAGCGGCCTGGATCTGCGAACGGTAAGTCTTCCTCTGCCCACCATACAGCGCTGCCATCTAACAATGCCTCAGTCGTGGCGCCATCGGAATCCGAGCTTGCCGCACGTGCCGAAGCACAACAGGCCATCGATGTGCTTCAACAGTCGCTTCGTGATGCCAATCGCCGCCTCGAGGAGCTCACGGCTCGTCAAGCTGCACACCAAAGCATGACGCAGTTGGAATCTCGCCTGTCTCGTATAACGACATCAAGCGATCTGCCTTTGCCGTCTTCGCAGCCGCCGAATGTCCTCTCCAACCTGCGCTTCCGAAGGAGCTTTGCACCGATTCGCCCTGTTCTTACAGCGACACCGGGTCGAGTGAGAAGCCCAGCGACTGCAGGCACGCGACCGCCGTCTAGCGACTCGTCTAGCGATTCGTTCAGCGATTCGTCCAGCGAGGCATCGAGCCCGACGGTGTCGCACCCACCCTATATGATGCGGAGGCTAGCACGACATGGGCGAAGACCAACAGCGGCCGGCAGAGAACCTTTGTCCAGCGCATCGTCCAGCGAGTCGTCCGGCGAGGTACCGGGCCAAACGTTCAGCGAAACATCCAGCGAGGCCTCGAGCGTGACTGTGCCGCAGGTATCACCAGGCTTCACGACCTCAACACCCCGTTGTGCGCGTTCGCATGCCCGCCGTCTGCCCTTCGACGATGAATGCCCCATATGTCAAGAAGGCGACCTTCTCTCCCAGTACGATCGGTCGAAGGTTGTGTGGTGTGAGTCCACATGCGGAAGGACTCTCCATAAAAGATGCTTCGAGGATTGGCGTAAGCAATGCTACATCGACCACCGGGACTTCACGTGTCCTGTGTGTCGCGGTGACTGGGAAGAACGCTCATGCGAAGCGTGTGACCTGATGCAGGTGCGCAGGCAAAAGATCGAAGGGGATTGCGCTATCTGTTGCCATGCGATGCAGGGAGACGCGCCGGAGGGCAGGGAAGACCTCGTGTGGTGTAAGAACTCGTGCGGGCAGAACGTCCACCGAGAGTGCTTCGATAGCTGGAAGGAGCATTGCGATGCTGTTAGAGGAAAAGTCGCGAGTTGCGTGCATTGTAGGACGTCGTGGAGCCGTGAGGAGTGTGATGGCTGAGGAGCAGGGGGTGTGCGAGCGCGGAGGTTCGGTCTTGTCTTCGGAACTGCTTTCCGATCGGAACAAGCACCTCGCATCTCCATCTGATGGGCGTTCCTCGCGCCTGCCCCGAACGTGTATTTTAGAGCTCGAATCAAAGCGAACGTTCCACCTGGGCAGTCGCCAATGTCAAGAAATCAGCGCATCTGCAGCTCCATGACTAACATCCACGTACTCACCGCGCCGTCATCTGATGAGGACCAAGTCCCACCAGCCAATCTCACTAGGCACCAGCCTGCTTCGTACTACGCTCTTCCCAACATCTTCGCTCGCGTCAATTTCGGGAATAAGTCAAACATCTTAGAGCCTACATCGACTGCACGTCACCTACTTTGCATTCCCCTATCCTCATGTAGTCTGCACAACTGTTAAGTCTCTTTCGGATGCGTTGCTACGACTGTACCGATCTCGCAAATATATGAAATTCCCCCCACTCCGCACCTTCCTGAGCTTCCCACGCACACAAGGAGAAGCTGATCACCAAATCGCGCTGACACCGATGCGGACTCTCGACGTGAGGTGACCCTATCAGGCGACCACGTACCGTACCCGCCACGACTCGCTTCTCGCAAAGATGGGATTCTGCCATACATGCCAGTCCCTACCCATTCGCAGCTTCCTGAAGCTTCACCAATGCGACAGTTCCGTGTACGACGAATTCCAGTGGTTTCGGTTGCCCAGATCGGTCACCACTGAGGAAACGAAGGAGCCGTTCTACAGATGGCACAACAGCGTGTCAGACCTACAGGATAGTGTCAGTACATGCGCATTCTGCGAGGTCATTTTCAGTCATCTCAGTGGCAGCTACCACTATCAAATGAACGCCAAGGACTGTGATGGGACGGCTCTGTGGATACTGGCGCCGATTGGCTCCCCCATGCTGAAGGTGTTCATGGGCCTGGCGGAACCTCAGGTGCAGCTCAGTGGTAACTTCAGTTACACGACTACTCCAGGTATTTGACTTCCGCTTGTTGACACAGATTTGATTTGACGCGCGTTCTTCAGACAGCTCGGTCGCAGATTGCTTCAAGAGCCACGTGCCTATACAGGACTCGCTACATTCTTTTGTGCTTCGGCAGATGGCAGCATGGGTCGCAAATTGCAATGAAAACCATCCGGACTGCTCAGCATCGGTGTCGGCGCGCAACGCATCTCAGCTACCTACGCGCCTTTTAGACCTTGGTTCAATGCCTAATGCGGCTGACTTCGAAGGTGCCCCAGGTGATCCACGTACTTTATTGGAGAACACACCACTAAGACTTGTCGAGAAAAGCCCAGACAGCGAAGGCCAGTATATCGCATTGAGTTATTGCTGGGGAAAAGCTTTGGCATTTACCACGACTTCCAAGGATCTCGAGAAGTACAAAGAGGATGAGGGAATCAAGTACAACCAACTCCCCAAAACCATACGAGACGCCGTCTTTCTCACAAGATATCTAGGCATCCGGTACCTGTGGGCTGACTGTCTTTGTATCATACAAGATGACGGAGCGGACTGGGAGAGAGAGGCTTCTCGAATGGCTGATGTGTACAGCAACGCGTATTTGACCATCGCTGCGACACGTGCCAGCCATTGTGGCGAGGGCTTCTTGCACGCACGTAAACTTAGAGGAGAGACTATCATCTCTTTTGAAGACGACAAGGGCTCATTTGACCTCTTTTTCCGTTACGACGATTTGATGTGGTCTCCTGGCTCCATGGAATCTATCACTGACGAGTCAATCACGATGCGACGGGTACAGTCTACCTTCATAATGAATCACACTGCGTTCCGGCTAGCTAACGTGAGATAGGAAGAGCCCCTCTTGAGTCGCGGCTGGGTGCTTCAAGAACGAATTCTCGCGACACGCACTTTGCAATTCACAAGCTACAACATGCGGTTAGAGTGTTCAAAGCAAGTCTTCACCGAGCCCCAATTTGTCGACGAATACGGCACCGCGAAAGAAACGTCATTGCAAAGAATAGCCCAGGGGCTTGAAAGTATCAAAAACGCGGCACCAACCACAGGCACGCAGCAGATACAGGTTCCGGCAGTCATCGGGAGGTCCTATGGATGGCGCGTATGGGCCCGCATGATTGAGGATTACACATCGCGCAATCTGAGTTTTGCGTCCGACAAATTCCCCGCGCTAGGTGGCGTGATTTCAGCCCTACAGGAGCTCACTAGCGATACCTGCTTTGCCGGCATATGGAAGAGCTGGTTTCTACAAGGTCTACTTTGGCGCTTGCAGGATCCCGACTGGGACGAGGTAAGTTTTGCCAGTGCGAAGTGCATGTGATACGTATACTGACTTCGCACGTCTCTACCTACAGTATGTGTTTTTCCCCAAAACGCCACAGAGGGCTGTTCCTTGGAGAGCTCCGACATGGTCGTTCGCGTCTGTCGAAGGAGTCGTGTTATATCAACTCCTCGAGGAGAATTTTGATCAAGGACTGTGCGCAGGACTGCTGAGCTGCGAACTCACGCCTAAGGGTAGAAATCCTCTTGGAGAACTTACAGACGGATTCGCCAAGATCAAAGGGCCGATATCTGCTGTGTCTGCTGTTTCATTGGATCTATCGCTTAACGGCAGAGAGTGCATGGTGAGCATGACAAACGGTAGGCTTGCTGAAGCCAGTATCTACTTTGACATCGACGTGTACGACTCCTGCCAAGTCCTCATGATCACTCCTCACATGGGTGTTGCTATTATACCGACCGACGTCGCCGAAAGGACATACACAAGAGTTGGGGTGGTCTCGGTGTACAGAGTCTTTGACCCAGGCAGTGACACTCGAAGTCGCGGCAAGCGGGCACACGAGAACCGCGACAGGTCGATTTCGGCGTCTCACTACCCAAGTCCGGAGAACATCACCCTGCTGTAAGGCTCGGGGGCCAAGAAGGTTGGCCTGTATATGAAATGGAAATTAGAGGCCGTTGGTGTGTTGCAGGAGTAGCTCCCGTTTAGTGAGGTCAATCAAGTCGACATGTTCAACAACAGCGCGACTCACGATCTCTGGGCTAGACGACGCATAGCATGACAGAGTCTGTCTACATTATCGTTGCTGTCTAGCCACTTCGAAATGCTCACCCAGTACGATATCAACAGCCTGTTCGGCAATCGCGTAAACCGGTACCTGGTAATGAGCCGCAAGGGGCTTTGGAATGACACTCGCATCAGCGACACGCAAATTCTTGACTCCAGACACCCTCAGCGATCCATCAACAACGGTCCCCATCGCTGCTGTCCCTGCAGGATGATATGTGGTACTTGCGCCCATCTTGAGTCTCGCGTCGATATCTTCGTCCGACTTCCCCGGATAGCCTGGCGGAATGTGTTCACATTCGACAAGCATCTTACCCTCGGCTGTATTCAACATCAGCTCGGATTGCATACGGAAACCCTCGCGCAAGACGTAGCGATCTGCTTCCGTGGCGCAGTAGTTTGGGTCGATGATAGGATTCGCGGACGGGTCAGACGATGCAAGCGTCACCGAGCCTCGCGACGTGGGAAGACAGCCCATGAAAAAGGTCATGATAGATGATCCGTCAATCGGAATACTGAGGCCCTGCGCTTCTGCTCCGACGGCAATGTACATGAGAAGCATCTCGAGGTGAGTGCGTGGGCCCTTGAGCAGTGCGTGGTCATCAGATACCGGGCCCTCATCGCGCTCGATGGCTGCCTTCAGTGTCCCGACTTGGTGTATAGGCGCGCGAACCAAGAAGTCTACCGGCCCCCCTCTATCGTAATTTAGACCACCGAAGAGCGGCGAGCCGATCGCTAGACCCTTCTCTGGGTTTCGCAGCTTCCAATAACGGTACATCATCAGATGATCATGCAGATTCTGGCCGACGGCTGGTAGGTTGGATACAACTGGAATGTTGTGCTGCGATAGCTGGGAAGGCTCTCCGATGCCAGAGAGCATCAAGATTTGGGGCGTTCGGTAGGCGCCTGCGGTTATGACGACTTGGCCGCCTTCGTTGAGATCAATGCGTTCGCCATCTGTGAGCTCTACGCCGACTGCCGTATTCGTATCGTCGAAAAGCACACGCCGGACGATGGTTGATGTGCGCACCTGGACACCGTGAAGCGGGTATACGGAGTGCGCCATCTGCCGTTTGCCATCCTGGAAGTTCTCAACCAGATCGCTGATGCCTTGAGGACGGCCGTCGTTCAGGTCATGGATAGGTGGTATGTCGAGGTTCGACCAAAGCTTATGGACGGTTTCGCGCAATGGGTATATACGGCCGGTAGAGGTGACAGATGCCGTGTGCATCGGACCGTCGTGCCCATGCTGCGAGGGATCCGCATCGGGGTCGAAGTGCCTTTCCGTGCGCTTGAAGTATGGCAATAGGCCGTCGTAGCTCCATCGCGGATCGTCAACATCGCGTGCCCACTCGTCATAGTCCTGCGCATCGCCTCGAATCCATCCACCTAACACAGTCAGCTGGTCGCGCGCACCTGCAGTCACCATGTGTACCGTTGTTGATAACGCTGCCGCCGCCAAGGCCTCTAAAGCCTACATTTCGCTTGGGCTTCCCATCGAGATGCTCTTGAGGTGCTGTAGAGTAGTTGTAGTCGTACTGGGAGAAGTGGAGGTTCGCGGCCGCGGCTGGTATGGTAACATGTGGATTCCCAGTAGGATCGGGACCGGCTTCAATGAGTACAATGGATAGCGATGGCTTCCTCTCGTGCAGACGCGAAGCGACTACGGTGCCAGCGATTCCGCCGCCTACGATGATGACGTCGGCCATTGCAGACTCAGCTTGTCCACAGTGCGAGGAAGCGGGTCGGAAATGCCACTGAATCAGCTATATATACGGTGTAGCTCGCATTATAGCACTTGAAATAGGCGGGGCGTATGGGCGTATGGGCGTATGCAGTCAGCCGCAGCGATCCAATCATACATTCCGTTGTCACGGCGTAGCCCACATCGATGTGCACGACAGGCCAAGAGACATTGATCAGCCGATCCATCGGTATCTTCTAACAGCCTGTTATCATATCCATCGCCCTTCCTTGTCCGCGGCTTCGGCCGGTACTACGATGTTGTGTAGGAGGATCGGCCGGTCAGGTACGCTGAGACCAAAGACGGGACGTGTGTATCGCGGAGGGCGGTGAAGTGTCGGTACACGAGACATCGCGTGATGTGAAGTATAGGACTTTGCTCGCATGTGCCGCTTCGAAGTTGATTGCCCTTACTATGTGTTCACAAAGTCAGCAAACAGCTGAGCAATAAGAGTGAGTGTCTTGAGCTGGAACGACGTGTCAGCGTCCCACGCGCGGGCAGCGGATACCATGCCGTCGATGTTTTACTGGTAATTGCCCGACTTCCTCTGCGGCCTGGTCCAATAGTGTCCATGTTGGCAAGGGGGCTTAAGTTGCTGTGCGGTAGAGGTACCAGGTGTGCTATCGGAATTATGCCTGAGGCAACCGCAAGATCCCTATTGCTCTGGCTGAAGGTTTGAATCGCGTCGGAGTAACATTGTGGAAGCCGTGTGCCGTCTCAGGTCTGGGTGGCATTGACATGCAGGGCGACTGTGTTCGTGTTGAGAGCGACACAATGTTTGACTAGCCGGATGACGCATCGGAGCTACATAACGCCGCGCCGCGTGTTCTGCCAGGCACACGCTACTCCGTCAACACCTCATCTTCATCCCCCCATCCAGCTCCTCTTCAAGGAGAACGACGATCGAGTATCCATAATAGCTGTCGGTACCTTCACAAAATAACGCTGTGGTCGAGTGTTCATGCGCGTGACGTTCGCGTCCTCAACTTGCGCAGTCGGGAACGCGACCCAGGCTTGAGCTCCGACGATACCGCGTAGCGCATGCTTCGCTCGGTACACTCTCGATATCGAATACAAAGCCCGCTGCGTACTTCGCTGTCTCGAAAACGCAGCTTGTCCGCAAGAATGTCCCGATACAAAGTCCGGCTCAGAACGACGTCCATTCTCTTCTAGGTTTCACCAGGTTTAAAGTCCATCAAAGCGGGTATCAAGGGCGTGCAGGGCATCACGCACGTTGCAGCCAACGCCAATCCCCCTCCCAAGCTTCCTGAGAGCTATGGGCTTAGACAACGTCGCATGGGTCCCGTAAACTGCAGCCGCGTCATTGCGATTATGTTCAGGCTCGACCGTGAGTAGCAATATACGCCGTACACTCGATACGGACCACCGACCATGATCCATGACAGACCCACATGGCCGCGGCAGTGCTGGTGCTGGGTCGGTGAAACGTGAACGGATCTTCCCGAGCCCATATTCGGATTTCGATGGCGCTAAACTAGAACGCTGGTTAGTCAGCGTATCCGTATTCAACGCTTCAAGACCCTCTCGCCGCTATCCGTATTCCCGCCTCCACGTATTTCTTTTCATCGTCCTTTCGCCAATTACGTCGCATTCGCCAAAGTCCGCCATGGCTCCGCGTAAGGTTCTGAGAAGATCGCATCGCAAATCTAGGAACGGTTGTCAAGAGTGCAAGAGACGCCACATCAAGGTACGCGACGGCATCGTGAGCGCGGGTACCTGCATCTGCTCGCGTAGCATTAGGGAATAAACCATACTGATCGTTCTAGTGCGATGAGGCGCAGCCCACGTGCGAGAATTGCGCGCGCGATGATCGTACATGCACGTACTCAAGGCCACCAGACCCATCTCAACGCGCGGTATCCAGCCAATCGCCATACGCGGTTCCCGAGACCACATCAGGATCTTACTTCGGAACTCCAACGTCGCTTGGCGTGCCGAGTACTGTGGAACACAGCAGTACGGTGTCACCAGCCGTGACGTCTTCCGTGGACCTGTCTTTCCTCTCTCCGGCGGCGTCGTCACCGCATGGCTCGGACCTCTCTTTCAGCTTGCGACATATGCAGTTGCTCAGCCACTTCATCTACGAGACGTTGCCAAGCCTCGCAGAAACAGGGTCGATAGACGACACGCAAGCACGTGCTCTTATGCCAGCGATTCTGTCAGAGCCATATGCCATGTACCAAGTTCTGGCCCTCTCCGCCATGCACATGAGCTACCAACACCCTGAAGAAGCAGACCGACATCGCGAGGAGGCTAGAGCTCTCCAAACTCAGGCGTTATGCACCTTCAATAGTGCACATATCGAAGTCACGCCAGATAACCTTGTGTCTATCATGTCATTCTCCACCATGACTGGCTTGCACGCCCTTTCAGAAGTCGCTGGGAATGCCGAAGTGGGACCGGGTGGAGTCCTGGATGGATTCGTCACGTACATGAACTTGCATCGAGGAGTTCGAGCCATCATATCGCAATCCTGGGGATTCTTGAACCAGACCAGCGTTGCTCCTCTTTTCGAGCGAAGCACGAGTGCCATTCATCATGCCATATGTTCGAACGGACAAACAGCAGTAGCAGTGGCGGAGCGCCTGTCAAACTTACTGGACCATGCGGACATGAGCGAGGAATCTCGACAGACTTGCAGTGTGGCTGCATCTGAGCTGACAGTCGTATACCAGACAGAGCCTGACGTGGAAAAGCCGTCAAATCAGCCGCCTGGAACTGGTTTAATCTGGGTGTTTCCAATTAATCTCTCAAGCGAGTTTACGGCACTTTTGTCTATGCGCAAACCGGAAGCGCTCATTATTCTGGCCCACTACGCGGTTCTTTTGCATCGTAGACGCCGGGTGTGGCTGGTCGGCAACGTCGGCAGAGTACTAATCGAAGAGATTTCGAGATTCTTGGGCAGCTTCTGGAAAACTTGGCTCGACTGGCCGAACGAGGTACTTTTGCAACCCTAGCGCGATACGTAGCCAACCAGCGAATACGTCGTATACCATGACTCGTATTCGTCCCCATCCACGCATCGACCACCAAGCGGACTCGCCTGTCGTACCAGAGTACCTACAGTAGGCATC